AATAAAATTTCTAAATATTACTGTTTTTGTCTTTATTTTTGATCAATTAAATGCAGGCTTGATGAGCATAGGAGAATTCTTTCAAAAACATTAAAAATAGTAATAGTGCCCACATTTTTGACCAGTACTTCTGTATGTGTATGAGCGTTTACAGTAAATGTGCATAAAAAAACATACATAACCACGTATATACTGTATGTAGTGTGTGTGTGGGTTTATTAATCTGCATGTAGGCTATACTTTTATCTTTTAAAAAAAACGGTAGATATACATGACCCAGCAATGCAAGTGATATGTCCATTAAAAACCTCCCCGGGCATCTTGGTGACAAACCTTGATAAGTACGTAAGTGACTGTTTGTCTTGCTTCAGTTTAACCAAACGTAAGACTGATTTAATCCATTGTACGAACAAATGATCCCAAGCTTTCCATTAAGGAGTTAATTGCATCTAGATATGCATTTACCGCCATCTCTCGTGTACACGCACGCAGCATCAATCAGAGCCGTCCGGAAGACTACTTTTACATTTCTTTGTAAGTTTGCGCCTCAGTCATATTTAAAGGGTAATTCCAATAACCGTTTATTTAAAAAAAAAAAAAATACCGCATTTTTTAATACCGCAACTGTTGCGTTTCGCTACACTTAAAAAGTACATGATTGTTTTGACAGATCTGAGATTTAAAAATGGCGCTACCGGAAATGCTTCAGGACCAGACATGCGCAGTAGCGTTCCAACGCCTTTGTTATTGTTTACGTCTTTGAAATGGTCTACAAAATATGCAATGGAAGATAATAGTAGCTTGCTGTGAAATTTACCATTTTTGACAGTAAAATTTATAATTAAAAAAAGTGTTTAATACATTGTACAATGCTATGTTTGCCTTATAATTTTCTGTTTTTCTTTAATTTTCTTTTTAATTATCCTGCTCAAATAGAGAATGAGGAGTTACATCACGATCTTTTCACTCCGCATTGCATTTCGGGAAGGCGCCGCCATATTAGTAGGATACGCTATCCGTTCCCATGGTTACTTCTCATTCTCTATAAGGATAAATGCTTCTCTTTTGTTAAGTTTATGTATTTGGTAGGATTAGGGATGTAGATGTAGGGTATCAGACCAACTCAGAAAATTTAAGATTCGATCAAGAACATGGTTGAAACACGAGGAGCCGAATTCCACAGAAAGGACCAAAACACAGAATGTTCGTAAATCAGATCCTGGCGCCACAAGTCTGAAGAAAGTCCACCAACTAGCAGCTTTTAAACAAAAGAGCACTTATTGACAATTCCAACTCAGAAAGGAGATTGTCAAATTTGGGGCAAATAAACAAGATTACTGATTGAAGAGACAACATCATGACCATCACATGAGGGAAATCATTATTGGAGACTTTGTTTGACTGCCCCCCACCTAGAGGACAAGAACCAGACTGAGATTCCTTATGAGACCTTTTAACCTCTCTGGTCTTCACAGAACATGTCCTTACGTCCACAGAATGGCACAGAAACTGCCTTTCCATGTCCTTATGAGACCTTATAACCTCTCTGGTCTTCACAGAACATGTCCTTACGTCCACAGAATGGCACAGAAACTGCCTTTCCATGTATATATGCACCTACATGACACTAAAAGGACTTATGAGCTACTAATCATGTCTATGCATAACTCCATATTATGTATGTAACCCACACGTGTGACTATCATGTTCTAATTACTTATTGTGTGTGTGTTTTGAATAACTATTGAATAGTTTATAGGATTATATTCATCTTGGGTATGTAGGAGTGTGAAAATTCATGCTTTAAACGTTTCTATCAATCAATACTTTGTCAAATGTATCATATTCTTGTTATAGAAATTATGTCCAAAATTATACTCTGCAAGAGTGGGAAAATTCGGACCATGTGACTGATAAGATAACATTCGATGTATGAATTGGGAGGAGAAACATTGCAAAACCCCGAGCTATAATTGGTCAAGGCACCATTTGGGGTGAGTCAAACAGCCCGGTTTAAACACTCAGGACACCATCAAACTTTGCTTTTAGCTTTTATTCATGCTTTTTAGTTATGCTTCAAGTCATCACTTTTAGCCATGCGGCTTTTTAGCTTTTTCCCTTTCCTGCTTTTTAGTCATGGCTTTTAGCCATGCTTTTTAGTCATGCTTCAAGCCATGATTTTTAGTTATGCTTCAAGTCATTGTTTTTGCGTTCTTCGAGCGCCGCTACTTAGCCACGATGAGAAGAAAACCATCTAGTCTCGTCAAACTTTACTTCTATTCTTTTACTTTAGTTTATTTTCTTTCCATTGAGAGTTTCGTGTTCTGAGTTAAGTTTTGCCTAACGCCGTGTCTCGATGAGCCAGAATATTAACGCCACATGTTTAAATGTAAAGCGTTTTCCTCTCTTTAGGAAACTGTAATCTAGAAAGCGCTTCTGGATTAAGACAGCGATTTCCAAAGTTCATACTTTGGGCTCATCTGTTTTTCCACACATATTATGCTTTATTTATAAGATGTGTGTACAGAATGTGGTCTTAAATATCACTGTCTCGGTGCATTAAGCGTGATCTTTATATGAGAGGAAAATGCTTAAACGCGTTGCGTTCACATTTTGATCTTATATGGATATCTGCACATAGTATATGCTTTACAATTTTGTCTCTATCACTGTCTTGGTATATTAAGCCACTTTAAGCATTTTAGAATGCGGCTTTTTAGCTTTTTCCCTTTCCTGCTTTTTAGTCATGGCTTTTAGCCATGCTTTTTAGTCATGCTTCAAGCCATGATTTTTAGTTATGCTTCAAGTCATTGCTTTTGCGTTCTTCGAGCGCCGCTACTTAGCCACGATGAGAAGAAAACCATCTAGTCTTGTCAAACTTTACTTCTATTCTTTTACTTTAGTTTATTTTCTTTCCATTGAGAGTTTCGTGTTCTGAGTTAAGTTTTGCCTAACGCTGTGTCTCCGAGTCCAACCTGTGCCCGTCTCAAAACTTCAACCAGCCCACAAATTCAGCATCTTCAGCCAACGCCCAACCATTGGCTTCCCATCACTTCAACGACTACTGAACTTCCAGCCAATCAGCAATCTTGGGAGACCCCTTCTCTGCAACGACTACACAAAGGGAACCCCTTACACAGGCAACGCAAGTACCTCCAGCTGAACTGCTGCTTTTAATATAATTTTAACCTCACTGAGGAACTCAATGCGAGGGTTAATTAAGTGATTGATGGTTGTTCAGGTCTATGCAATTGCACATATTGCATTAAACTTGGGATTTAACATTTTCATTCTTTTAAACTCATTCTTTCCTCACTGTCTCTCTTTCTGCAACTTGTGTGAATGTGTGAGTGCGCGTGTTTACGTGTTAGACTAGTTTATATGTCTTAGATTTATCCAATAAAGTCTTATTCATATTGAAAAGAGAAGTATCTTGTGTTTTGTGCTTATAAGTTAATGTCTTAAACTGCCGATCTTGTTACTGTGCTAATAAATAGTGTTTTCACTATACTTTGGATATTAATATCCATTGCAGAATTGATGTTATACGGCCCGTTCAATGAATCGCTGGCCGTCTCAGTGATCAGCCGTAAAACAGTGAATCTGTCCAAATTCCCTATAAAATCTTAAATGATTCCCTTTGAGCTAAATTGACCTGTTTCCCTTACATAGAATAAGGCATTAATATGTGCTTAATTAGTACTAATAAATGGCTAATATTCTAGTAATATGCATGCTAATAAGAAACTAGTTAAGAGACTCTAAAATAAAGTGTTACGGAGTTATTCTTGTATCCGGCTGTTTTAGTGTCTGGTTCTTTGTCTAAATGGACAATCAGGTGATTTTGATGACAGGCTACAAAGTAAGAGAGCATAACTTCAACGCTGCAGTAAGAACTTACAAACTGCTGAAAATAAGATTAAAAAGATGTTTCACCTCATCAAACACATAAAACACTGCTCATAAAGATAATAAATCCTGACTATATATGATAACTGACTCATCTTTATGAGCTGTGTTTCATGTGTTTGATGAGGAGAAACAGCTCAGTGATAATAAATCCTGACTGTATATGATAACTGACTCGTCACTGAGCTGTTTCTCCTCATCAAACACATAAAACACAGCTCATAAAGATAATAAATCCTGACTGTATATGATAACTGACTTTTCACTGAGCTGTTTCTCCTCATCAAACACATAAAACACCGCTCATAAAGATAATAAATCCTGACTGTATATGATAACTGACTCGTCACCGAGCTGTTTCTCCTCATCAAACACATAAAACACCGCTCATAAAGATAATAAATCCTGACTGTATATGATAACTGACTCGTCACCGAGCTGTTTCTCCTCATCAAACACATAAAACACCGCTCATAAAGATAATAAATCATGACTATGTCACAGCTGTTGTGATTTAAAGGGGTCATATGAAGCTGCTAAAAAGAACATTATGTTGTGTATTTGGTGTAATGAAATGTTTTTATGTGGTTTAAAGTTCAAAAAACACATTCTTTTCCACATACTGTACATTATTGTTTCTCCTCTATGCTCCGCCTTTTTGAAACGCGTAGATTTTTACAAAGCTCATCGGTCTGAAAAGTGAGGTGTGCTGTGATTGGCCAGCTATCCAGTGTATTATATCATATCGTCATCATCGTATTACTGATTTTATTTCAGTCCGTAGAAACATCGCTGTTGTTTTTCACATGCAGATTTTAGTTTAGATCTTCAGATGTGACAAAGTTTGAACACTCAAAACAAAGTGAATTTAGTTTCAAAAAAGTTTCATATGAAAATTGTAATATTACAATGGTTTTTATTTTAATGTTTTGTTTAATTCAATTTTTCTTTCTATCTTTTTATTTTGTTTACAGAATAACCTAATCTAAGTGCCATTAAAATAAAAACAGGTAAAATTACTGAACACAAGATGTTTAACAGACATATTTAGATGTTCATAATGCACATACGTACATTTTTATTATAATGAGTCATTTAAAAATACTCTTCTCACAGATCCATTTGAACGTAAAACCACATGGAAAATCAGCCCATCCTGGTGAATGAGTTAGAGCACAGTCTTCCTCTTCTGTATTCGGTTGTCCAGTCTCCCAGAACCTGCATCAACAGATCAGCGTTAGTTCAGGGCTGCTTTCTGTGTGATATGATACTGACTGAGAGAATCGTTTATAAAATAATAATCAGTTCAGTTCAGTGATTTCTCACCCAGAGGTCATATTGCTGCCATCAACCCATTTCCATGTGCCCTCCACATCAGTGTCAGTCAGACCAATCCAGACATTAGCAACACCAGAAATGTTCTTCACAAAATCCTGAGAAGTGAAACAAAACAAAAACACATTTTATAAAATAAGCACAGACTGATTTAAGCACATTATCTTTCATTTAAAAACGAAAAACCACGATTGCACACACACACACACACACTGACTTGTTCCTCTATGTTGTTTATGATGACCAGATCTGCTGCTCTCTCTGTACAGTATCTTCTGCTCTCAGTCCAGCTCTTCATCTCAGAGGATATGAAGTAAAGACTGGATTGATGGCACTTCCATCCATCTATAAACACAGATAGTTCATTTTATTTATTTTTTTACAAATAAAGCTTCATATTATGAGAAGGGTACATTCTACGACCTATCCTGCAGTCATCATGGTGAGATTAAGTTCCTTCAATCTAAAAAAACAAGAATAAAAAAAGAATCGGAAACAACAGCGAGGAATCGATTCTTGGAACCAGGAATCGGACTCGGGACTCGATTAAAAAAAATTCGGAATTGAACAGCCCTATAGACACTGAAGCAGTCTGTGTATTTGTCATGGTTGTGTCTCATCTGAGGCCAAAGATTGATTCTGACAAAAGAGAATGTTTTTGACTAAAATATTTGATTTTGACCTGGAAGTTTGAAGTTTGTACAAGTTGGTGTGAAGTTTTGAGATTGTGTTTATAGCTGTGAGAAAATGGTGAATTGTTTCGTGAATTGTGTGTTAGCAATCAAGAAAAACGAATGAAATGCTTATGCTCAATTAAATGAATATTGACTAATAAAGCCACTTGTTGCAATGTCTATTTAACTATTTTCTCATCTGCTACAATAACAATGTCTTAAATTATTATTTATACTCAATCCCTAAATTATTCTTAATCATTATAATCATAAAGCGCTAAAGCAAGGTCAATACAAGCAATAGCCACATGACAGATCCAGTTCACTCCACTTTAAAATCCGAGTCTGCTTTAGAGCAAGTTACCAGTTAGACTGAAGAAACTTACCCGCAAAACGCTTCTGAAGTTCATTTTCTTCTGATTTCAACTGGTCTCTCTCTTTCGTCAGATTACCATTCTGGAATATTAGCAGTTGTCTCTCACTAGTCAGGTTTTCATTTCGGATTAGCAGCTGGTCTCTCTCTTCTGTGAGGTTCATATTATTAGTCAGTAGCTGGTCTCTCTCTTCTGTGAGGTTGGTGATCTTAGTTAGCAGCTGCTGTCTCTCTTGTGTGTAGTTTGTGCTCTTTGTATTGATGTGGAAACACAGCACTATGACTGCAGTCAGCAGAAGAACACACAGCAGCCCCAAACACACTGCAGCTGCTCTGGAGCTTCTGACCTTCACACCATCACTTCCTGAAGATGATAGATATGATGTTAGTCTCTTCCCTTCCTCATATCATACGGCTCACATAATCTGAAAACCTGCCAACTATAGACTAACTTTAGTTAAATATATGACAGTTAAATATAACTGTCATATATTTATTAGTGTAGCTTTTGTCCTTGTGTTTTGTGGAGTAAATGCACTATATATGACTTTCTTTTTTCAGGTGAAGAGAAATTGAGCTTTTGGAGAAATATATTCTAGGATTTTTCTCCATCTAATGCAAGTGAACAGGGTTCAACGGTCCAAAACCATATTTAGGCAGCTTTACATTAATCCACATGACAGTTAACACATAAGGGTCTTTTCTAGAGAAACGATCAGTCATTTTCATTATATTTACAAGTGGAACATGTGAAGACTACATCATACTGGATGACCTGGAAGTGAGTAAATAATCAGAATTTTTTTATTTTTGGGTGAATCTCAGTTACCTGTGTGTTGAGGTGTTTGGGGTTTTGCTGTGTTAAATTCCTGTGTGTTTTTGTTATGTTTCATTTCTCTTACAGCTTCTGCACTGATGTAGATATCAACAATCCTTTCTATTCGGTCTTCGGAGTCCATTATCGAACCTTCATCCATACTATCATTCACAATTCCAGACATTTATTAGTGCAGTTGAAATGGTTACAGTCGTTTATCTATGGAACATAATTTTAAAGTGGTACAAATAAACATAACTCATACATTAAATTATATACTGAAATATATTCATGATTAATCTCAGTTACCTGTGAGTTCAGATGACTGGATTCTCGTGGCGTTGAATCTGTGATCTCTTTTCCGATGTTACCGCTTACAACACCCACATATTAGACATCATCAATGTTTTTTTCTCTCTCCAGTTTTACACTTTTTAAGTATTTTCATTTACACTATCAGACAGCTTCAGGGTCAGCAAACTAACGCTAGTTTCTCTCCCATAGTGGACTGTGTTGTGTTCCTCATCTGTGCTTGTGTGGCCAGTATATATGCAGAAAGGAACTGTTTTTGTGGAAATACTTCAGGTATTTATGTAAAAAGGAACTTCAACTCACTGCAGAAGAACATTGAAAATATCTCTTTCAACAATGTGGATTGTGTTCATTTAAATGAGGCTCAAATGTATTCTTTTTACCAGTGGAAACTTTTTGGAAATGTTTAGGTTGTTGCTGTTACATCAAAAGTCTCCAGTCAGCTGACCAGTTTATGGTTGATGGTTTTAAGTGTCATATTTTTTTGCAAATTAAAGAAACCGAAAAGGAGAGGCTTTAATCAATGAACAGTTCAGATTGATGAAGTTCAAAATATGTGTATAAATACAAATAACCTACGCAATTAGTAGTGAATTACTGAATGACTAATGATTATTTTTTTGTTTAATGTAATGTGATCTGTGTTTAGATCCTTCTCATGTTTCCAGGGTTCTCAGAAGTAGAAGTCATCATAGCTGGGTGAGCTTATATAGTGGTGAATGAAAACTACAACAAATATATTTTTTGTTTTCATTTGCCCCGATAGTAATAGAAAGAAAAAAACAGTCCACGATAGTGTTTTAATGACTTTCCAAAAGAGAGAAAAAAAAGAGTAATAGAGAGGTTGATTACGTTAGTCAAAATAGTGAAAGATGTCAAATTTATTGTCACTCCCTCAGCCTTTGTATTACACGCTGCAGCTTAACTAGTTTTATGTAATTTAATGGCAAGTTAAGAAAACTTGTTAAAATGTATTTATTTATTTTTTAATTCTAGATTAAAAATTTTAATAACTGTGGAAATGCATTTTCATATGCATATGATATTCTATACACACACACACACAGAGGCTACATCTAAAACCGCATACTTCCCTACTAGTAGGCAAACAACAGTACGCAAACAAATTTTATGTCAGAATCATCAGTATACTACAGAGCCCGGGAAGTCACCTGTAGGAGAAAAAAAAAATCAGTGGCGACGGTTTTGCAATCCGTCCCCTCAGTTTATAAACCGTACTCACAAATTCTTAAACTGTTCTCTCGGTTTAACAAACTTTACCCACGAATTTCCAATCCGTACGCTCAGATTTTGTAAACCATACCTTCGGTTTTTGAATCCGTACCCACAAATTCATAATCCGTGCGCATGCTTTCGCAATCCGTTCCCTCGGGTTTGTAAACTCACGGATTTGTGGCCCTGCCCCTAGTCTCTGACGGCAGATTCAACCAGGCCACCTGTTTAGGTGCGGGATGCATTGTATTGTGTTTATGAAATATTATTTTTCATAGTAGCCTATTTCTATTTTTCATAGAAAATGAAATGTTTCGAGAGGAGACGGTAAAAAGCAATACAAATTGTACTGGTTATGTTGTCATTTTTGTCTTTGCTCTCTAACTGAATGCAATGTTATAATAGGCCTAGTTATTTAATAATAACTTTAACAGTGAAGCATGCATCTAACTCTGGCGGAAAAATCTTAGTATAATAAAATCACCGAAATAAGACTTCATGTTAAGAATGAATAGTACACAAACACATTTGCAAAACTGTAAAAGGTTATTTAAAAATAAAATAAAACAATTCATGAATCCTTTAAAAATAAATTGTATGATAAATGCACTCATTTATTTAGCCTATAATTAAAATAATAATAGTAGTAATAATAATAATAACTATTATTATTATTATTATTATACATTTAGGCAGGGGCGCCTGCAGGATTTCTTCCAAGTGTACGCACAGAGTTCTCCCAAAACAGCTTATACTACTGTTTCAGCTATTAAATGTACTCGGTTACTAACGTAACCTCGGTTCCCTGAGATATATGAGAAAAAAGCATTTTTCTCCTGAACTGAAGCCTTTTTCATTCATGCAGTGAAACGGCATGGCCAGTGGTTCGTGCAGTGTATTAAAAAAACGTACAAACCAATGGTTAGGCAGCGGAACTGCACAAGCCCATGGCGACGAAGCCTGCCAAAGCCCGCCATAATGGGCGGGGCATCTGGCTATATAAGCGGGCGTTCGCCACAAGATTCTCAGGTTACTTCGACTGAAGCGACGACTGACTCGTGCAGCTACATAGCACGGCTAGCAACGCAGTACTCGTTCCCATATCTCAGGGAACCGAGGTTACGTTAGTAACCGAATACGTTCCCTTTCGATACCTCACTCGTACTGCGTCTGCTAGATGCATATGGGAACACAGTATTATCAAGCCGCTCGATGTAAAGAGGGGCACTGATCCTTTTGTGTGAGACACGGATCGAAGCGCAGTGGGGAGAACGAGTACGCAGGCTCTGTGTCGGTCTGAGATCGCTCAGACCTGGTTGCTTAGTTCCCAGGCTTTGTTGTTTCTCTCTCCAAGGCTTGCTGAGACAGGAGAAAATTGAGAGCAGGGCTGTTCAGTGAAAGCCAGTCCGCGAGTGGAGAAAAGTGAGACTCATGCTTGAGTGAGCATTCTGTCTCAGTAAGCGCGTAGCTCACTGCCCTTCTGCGGCGGATCCGAGTGCAACGGAGAGAGAGCACGCAGGCACAGTGCCGGCATGAGATCAGTCAGACTGATTGCTTATTCCCCCGACTCCTCTCTCAGCGAACCTCAGAGAGAGAAACAGCGGAGAAACGGGAGAGCGGGGCTGTCTCCAGTGGAGGCGGTTCGCGAGTGGAGAAGAATGAGACTCATGCTTGAGTGAGGATTTTGTCTCAGTAAGCGCGTAGCTCACTGCCCTTCGGCGGCGGATCCGAGTGCAATGGGGAGAGCGAGTATGCGGGTACAGTGCCGGCATGAGATTGCTCAGACCCGGTTGCTTAGCTCCCTGACTCCACGGTTTCTCTCTCCGAGGCTCGCTGAGAGAGGGGACACTGGAGAGCAGGGCTGCCTCCAGTGAAGGCGGTCCGCGAGTGGAGAAGAGCGAGACTCATGCTTGAGTTAGCATTCCGTCTCAATGAGAGAGCAGTCTTTGTGTGGGGTCTGCCCAGACAGATGACATACTCATTGCTCTTCTGCATCGTGCAAGTTTCCCTGCACGAGCCACACTCGTGACGCCCCTCCCATTCTGGTGGGCTTTGGCAGGCTTGGTGGGCTTTGTTGCCATAGGCTCGTGCAGCTCCGCTACCTAACCATTGGTTCGTAGATTTTTTTTAATACACTGCATGAACCACTGGCCATGCAGTTTCACTTCGTGAATGAAAAAGGCTTCTTTCGGTACACTGTAAAGGTACACTGTAAAAAATGACTGTGAGATTTACAGGAAAACAATGTAAAATTCCTACAGAAAAGTATTGTAAATCCAAAAACATATATTTTTTGTTTAAATCACAGTGAACTTTTGTAAACTATTAAACAGAATGTTTTGTTATATTTACAACATCGATATGCGATTATAATCAAATTTATTTGTTAAAACTACAAAGATTGGTATAAAAAAACAGAGAAATACTGTAATACTCATAACAAAACAACTTTGTTCATTTGACATGCAAATATTGTAAAAACTAAAGTTTTAGTCAGTTGTTCTTAAAAATACAACTAAAGTAAGTCACTATACAAGTTTAATGCAAATTGAGGTAGTAAAAATGTTTTTACAAAAAAATGTATTGTGAACCTGAGCGGTTGCCTGTCTGTATTTATATATAAAAATATAGGCTACAATTATAATAACATTGTTTTTATAATTCAGGCTATTTGTAGCATATTGTAGAGTGTGTATAAGAAATTAAATTTATTGATATGCAAAGTAATAGGTACCGTTCAGTCCTAATCCTTATATGCCTTATGTTTATTTTAGTCTTTAAATTTTAATGTAATTCTTAGCCTACTGGTTTTCTACATAGGCCTATTGATAAAACAATAGTACTAATTTGAGCATTGTGTCATTATCACAGGCTAAACAACCAAACAGTGCCTTCACTAACATCGCTTTATGATTTATTTGTAGCCTACTCTATTTATAGAGTATGTGTATAAGGAATTAAAATTATTGAGGCCTGTGCAAAGTAACACTTCTGTTCAGTTCTAACCATAATCATTGTATGCTTTATGTTTCTTTTAGTCTTTAAATTGTAATGTTATACTTAGCCTGCTGGTTTTCTATTTATATTTATAAATTATTTCAGCATTGTTTTGAGCATTGTATCATTATCACAGGCTAAACAACCAGTGCTTCCTCTAACCACAGACTTGCACTTTTTGTGTCTGCTAATTTTGAATTTCACAGTTCCAGATAAGCTCATCTCTGATTGGATAATGACCAGTGAGGAGTGGGAGACGCTCACCTGCGGCTGATGTCAATAACGAGCGAGCCAGAGCAGCGCTTGCTAGAAAGAAAACAGAGGCACAGCAGAAGTCTTCGGAACAGTGTCTTTTAAAAGTTTTTATCTACAATTTTAAGAAGTTTTTAGAGGGTCTGCTGCTGTTCAATTGGAAAATTAAAAGTTTGCACGGCAAGCTTCACAGTGTTTAGCCTACTTTTTTCGAGACCAAATGAAAATGTGTGCTGAAAGCACATGGTGTAAACTAGCTAGCTTGATCAATGCGTGATAACTTGGTTCAGCTGAAAAGCACAGGCAAACACTTGAAATCCCAAAAATGGTCACCTGTGTCTTTTGTAAAAAGAAATTGGATACATTAAGAGGCAATGTACTACATTGCAAAGTGCATAGGAATGAGCCCCGTTGTCTTTTTAAATGTGTTGGCGCCAACTGTAGTCAAACATTTACCACTTACTCAGCTTTCAAGGGCCATTTTTATCGTGTGCACAATGCACCGCAAGCTGCTCCTATAGCTGTTGTTGCGGATTTAAAATGCGCAGTTTCATTATGTGCCCGCCGTTTTCACACGGTGAAAGAGCTTGTCTCACTTAAATGATCATATTGGCGAGGGCAGGTCTGTCATGTCCAGTAAGTGGTTGTAAACATGTGTTTACAAAAAAGTCGTAATTTACTTCTCACATGTGTAGAAAGCATAAAGCATGCTCCCCAGATGGTATCGATAACATGTACAGAGAAACTCGCCCTCAGCCCCCAGATGTCATTGCCAGTACAGATGATTCAGAAAACACACATGAAGCCATGCCAACAGCTAGTGCAGCCAGTGATATGCCAGAGAATGATAGTCAGTCGTATGTCAGAAACATGTGTCTCTTTTACCTTAAACTGCAAGGACAGCTGCTAATTCCTGCCTCAACTATACAGACTATTGGGCCTATTGATAAAACAATAGTACTAATTTGAGCATTGTGTCATTATCACAGGCTAAACAACCAAACAGTGTCTTCACTAACATCGCTTTATGATTTATTTGTAGCCTACTCTATTTATAGAGTATGTGTATAAGGAATTAAAATTATTGAGGCCTGTGCAAAGTAACACTTCTGTTCAGTTCTAACCATAATCATTGTATGCTTTATGTTTCTTTTAGTCTTTAAATTGTAATGTTATACTTAGCCTGCTGGTTTTCTATTTATATTTATAAATTATTTCAGCATTGTTTTGAGCATTGTATCATTATCACAGGCTAAACAACCAGTGCTTCCTCTAACCACAGACTTGCACTTGCCCTCTCTCATTGTGCTCTGCCACTGAGTCTGCTAATTTTGAATTTCACAGTTCCAGATAAGCTCATCTCTGATTGGATAATGACCAGTGAGGAGCGGGAGACGCTCACCTGCCTGATGTCAATAACGAGCGAGCCAGAGCAGCGCTGGCTAGAAAGAAAACAGAGGCACAGCAGAAGGCTTCGGAACAGTGTCTTTTAAAAGTTTTTATCTACAATTTTAAGAAGTTTTTAGAGGGTCTGCTGCTGTTCAATTGGAAAATTAAAAGTTTGCATGGCAAGCTTCACAGTGTTTAGCCTACTTTTTTCGAGACCACATGAAAATGTGTGCTGAAAGCACATGGTGTAAACTAGCTAGCTAGATCAATGCGTGATAACTTGGTTCAGCTGAAAAGCACAGGCAAACACTTGAAATCCCAAAAATGATCACCTGTGTCTTTTGTAAAAAGAAATTGGATACATTAAGAGGCTATGTACTACGTTGCAAAGTGCATAGGAATGAGCCCCGTTGTCTTTTTAAATGTGTTGGCGCCAACTGTAGTCAAACATTTACCACTTACTCAGCTTTCAAGGGCCATTTTTATCGTGTGCACAATG